CCTGGTGATGTTCATCTATTTTTAATACGTTGCGTACGTAACAATGTTATCAATACTTTCTTGTCGTTTATGAAATTAAACACATTATTTTAGAATATTTATGAATAGATATTAAGAAATATGTAAAAATGAGCTTTAAATGAAGGTAACATTTAGCTACTATATATAGTAAAAAAAAAAAAATAAATATATATATTTATAAATATTTAAACAAGACCATTCGATTTAATAGAAATGAACAGTTAGAGTTACATATTATATTCAGAAAATAATATACAGGAATAATACATTTTTTATACAAAAAATAATGATCGGTTTAATTTTACGTAATGAATTAATTATATTTAACAGAAGTATTTCATTTCAAAAATATCTTACGGTTACTTCAAAGTTCAACGATTAAACTTGATATATCTAAAATAATTTCATTTGACATTGCTTTACAGACGCGTTATATTATAACTTTATTTATTTTTCAAAATTAAAAAAGTTGGCACGAGATCAGGAAATCAGTTCGTGTGTTTTTCCTAAAAACAAAAGAAAATGCGATATAAAATACAAGACTATGGCAAACTTGTAAGGCGTTATAACATATCGTTAAAGAAAATTGGCATAATACATCGTTTAGGAAAATTTTGTTAATCCAATCTATGAGAAGTTATCCTTATAAACGTTAGTGTGGTAATTATTCCACCCAATATGTAGGCAGGTTTCGCCTTTTATGATAATTTCAAATTCAGTATGGAAACATAACATAATATAAAAACAATAATGTTTTAGCGAATGGCCGATCATTATACACAAAATTGCCGTAAAGGGCTCGTAAACGCTTGCCAGAAGCAATCATGTATGAACAAGAAAGATCAAATGAGCTGTACCAAAATGTTTAATATAAATATTTTTGCGTCCATTGTTTTATTTTTCTTGTAGTAAACCTTGAATTATTTAAGTTGAAATATTGGAAGTTTTAAAGATCTAAAGGGTATCATAACGAAGCCACTCAAAGTAGTAAATAGAAACTGGGTATTGATATCAAACGAGGTTGTTTTACTTTAAGATTTACAGGATTCACCTTGAAAAATCTAAATATTCTTTGAATTTCTTCTATAAGTATAAAAATATATACATATACACACTACCTTCTGTTTTAATTTTTTTAATGTTATGAATAAGGTTCAACAGGAGGTAAAGACTTTTCTTGTCTATAGAAGAATTTAGTTTATGTGATGCTATCATTCAGAAAACTTTTTGAAAAAACTAAAGGTATATAATAACTTTATTTAAAAAATATTAATTTAAAAAGTATACATAATTTGTAGTAATTAACATCGTATCATTATTGCCATCGTACCAAATGGTATAGTGTGACATTTAATATGATATTCACATGTTTTAGATATTTTTGTCAGTATGAAATACCTTATTTCTTCATAATATTGTTTAAATAGGACATTTTTTTCCATATCCATAGTACTAAGTTCTCTTATTTGGTGTAGCTACATTCAGCCCGCCTAATTAGTATTTGTCTATATTCCAAACCAATACTTAGTTATTTAATAATGAGTACATATTGTTTTCAATTTATTATTATAAACTGTGCCCTTAATTATATATTCTGTTCACATATCTAAATCATATTCATTATATTTCATTATTTGCTTATAGTCTAAGTAAGATAGGGAGCCTTAAACTATCTTTTCTCGTCTGCTAATAAATACAATGGAGCAAAATCTGTTTCATGTTTTTTTGTGGCGTTTATCGCCTCTGGCAGTTTTCTGGTATTAGTATGTATCTCAATAATATCATTCTCTTTAAAGTTATATTTTTAATAACGTATAAAAAATGCTGGAAAAGCATTAATAAATATTGTTATTTCTAGATTAGGGGGATCAAGTCAGGATTTATTTATTGTTAAGACTCAACTACTTTTTTTTTATATGTCCCTATATTTAAATTTGACATGTTTTGCCTGTTCCATTTTTATCATAACACTAGCTGACCCGGCGAACTTCGTATCACCCTATAATCTAGATATATCTGTTATGTTTTTACCTGAATGAAGTAAATTTCCTTATACCTCAGAATTAAGTTTTGCCTGGTTCAACCTGATAATTGTTAATCACTCAGTTTCTACTTTTACATACATATAGACAGCAAATTGGTGAAAGAGACACCAACATTTTAAGATGTGATTGACTTCAACTTCTCTAACCATAAGACTGTATGAATAATAATTAATTATTTGAACTTACTTTTTTGTTAGTTTCAGAACGTTAAAACATTATTTTGGGATAAAATTATACAAATAGGTTAAAGCTATAATAATAATTAATAACTTAAAATGTTTATTTACCTGTAACTGGAATTATCATCTTCATTAAAAAATGACCTTCACGTTGCCAATATATGATAGGTTATTGTAAAGCATCATATGGTCGATGTGTCTTGGACACACACTGCAGTTGATTATTACGCCGGTGTAAAACAATATCACCGTTATCTTCATTTACACCCACAATGACAATAGCGACTTCATCGATTGTTGGGGCATTAAGATGTCTTATGTGTTGCCCTGCAGGCATCTTGTCAGCTTTGATAACAATTTTGTGTTTATCAGATGGCATGTGATCTAAAGAAGTCTTGAATAATGCAACCAATACCATTGCCTAGGCATTGCATCGTGGCGTTTTAGTAATTATAACTGACATCCGCAGAGTCTAAATAATGTATTTCTATATTTACTATAAAAAATCTCAGATCCCTCTTTTGCAAACTCTTTGTACTCAACCCTGACTAAATTAGTTTGAATAAATACGAATAGTTTACAGAGCCCAAACCTGTAAAGAGATGTTTTTCAGCAGTGGTCCAAACCTGACAGCAGTAATTCACTGTGTTCTAAATCTGTTCTTTGTTGGGATCAAGAAACTGCCCTAGATTGAATATTAGGCTATTTTGACAAGGATACCAGGGATTTTTTTCCTTACCCTTGGACTTCATCAGTTACAAAAATTAAGATTAAATTTTACAAGATAAGTATTGTCACAGTGGCAGATTTCATAAGACGACGCGACAAAGTTTACCAAATGTAGCCCATTTCAAATATATACTTCTTTTAATGTATTAGACAATTTAAATATACATAGTTTATAAAAAAATTCACAAATTAGCTGATAATAATGTTATGGATATCTTTTGCAATCCTTTTCTTTGCTGTTAACAATGACATCAGTAATATTGTGAAAAATAGAAAACTTATACATTTTAATTCCTTTCATATATACTATAACACTATCTAATGGTAGATGGCATCGTTCCAAATGTGAAAAGAATATGTTTTTCTCTCTACACTTAAAGATTATATATCACAGTGTTATAAATTATTAGGTATTGTGCGGGTTAGGTACTCGGAAGATTTATAATAATGAGGCAAAGTCTGGTTAACCGATTAATTAATTAGTTATTTGTTAATTTATCCATGCGCAAAAACTAATAAAATAATCTGACAAAACAAATTTTTTAATAGGTGCGGCATTTTGTAAAAAAATTTTTCGTCAAAGTACTATAATGTACTGAATTGATATTATCAAAACTTTTCTACTCGTAGTTCTTGAATTGAGTAGTTTATGTATAAAGTTTCCTTACAATGGCAAAATATGGAAAAAAATTACCACATTCACAGTCAGTTGTTCAAATCAGTTAAACTGAAGAAACAGTCTAGAGAGTCAAAAATAAAATCTTTGATGTTAAAATCAAAAGACGGAATTTGCGCTGAGGTTTTTCAAGGAAATTCTTGGTTTAAACAAATGAAAATTTTGAGTAAAATAATATGAATTTAAAAACAAAATGCTTTTGAATTGATGTACGTCTATAGTATCAAAGTTTGTTATTTTTAATAAAAACGATAGAAAAGTATATTATAATAGAATAAAAATGTGTAACAGTGAATCTTCTGAATTGAAGTCAATTGCTTTGAAAGTTAATAAAGATGTAAAAAAAATCAATTGGACAACGATACAATTTATCTTAAAAATTATTTATTTCCCAAAATAGCATGAAACGTTTCGTTTTAATGAAGGGTAAGTTCAATTAGGCAGCGTTAGTAAGCAAACACGCCAGAGGAAAGCGGAGGAGTAAATAAGCACTTTATTTGAACAGTAATTGATTAATTACTCATATATTTATTTATTTATTATGAAATATAATATTATGATGTTAAAAAAAATATAAATGTTCAGTGTAACAAGTAGTTTAAGTCTGAAGTAGATATTTTTAAATGAAATATTTCACAAAAAAAATCCCCATTTTGTAAATAATAGACAAATTAGTGTTGAATTCGACAAACGAGCACCAGTTTTAGACGTTCAAGAAGAGACAAAAGTCACATGACTGTTATAAAACAAAGTTCCAGTAACAATTAACTTTACCTGTTGTTTGATACGTGATATATGAAAGTTGCCAAATTCAGACCAAGGTACAAAGAGTTTGAAGTAAATAATGGTATTTTAATGACAGTTGATTCTAAATTAAAGCCCGAAACTAGTCTAGTTAACTGAAGTATTAATTTTGACCTTTTTAATTACAGTTTAACGAGATTTTTTTATTGACGTGATTTAAAAAAATCAATAGCACATAAAAATAATGGAATTATTTAAATAACATTTGAATATTTAAGTGTACTTACGTAACATCATTTACATAATATATAGTTTTCATAAGTGTAAAAAATTTTTGTAATAACATTTCGTTGTAATAATTTATGTTTTCCAAATTTTTCCTTTACTACTTCTCAATATCAATTTGCAAAAAATTTAAATATATTTCATATTCTTCAATTCACTGTAAATTTGTTTCAGATATTGTTAATTAAATATAAAAAATATTAGACTATATGTATATTTATCGTTCAATAAAAATGGTAAACATGTAATAACTTTTATTTAATAAAGCTGTGTTTCAGGTGAACCGGGTGATCGGTCAACGTTTGTAATGTACGGTTTAATATGCAGTGGGGCGGCCTCTACTTCGTGTGTTTAGCTTTATGCTGTCTTCACACTGCATCAGGTAATTTATGCCAGTATTGCAACAAAAATTTTCAATTATTTTATTATAATCTTCAATAAAGGTCACCTTTGTTATTGTATTGAAACACGTTGATTGATAATTTAATTTGTATATTTGTCAGTCGTAGCTAGCTCCTATTTTTCAGAAGATATTTTATTCATAGAAGTTAAAAAAGGGACATTTTAAAAAAGGAATGCTTTTATAATATTAGTTTTAAAATAGGCAAGACTTCTGGTGTAATAATAGTAAATTATATTCGAACTGACTTTACTTAACCTTAATTAAACTAGAACAAGACTGCAATGTAACTTAGTAAAACTTTGATGTTTTTGCAGACTTCAGCAAAAGTAGGTCTGTGGTCCTTTACTGACGTGGACCATATAATCCTCTATCTAAAGAATTATCTTTTAGTTTAACGATAGGGTTTCTCTTCCCAGAATTGTATAAAATTTTATTCAATAACATTATCATAATTATACTTCTACCGTTTGAAGGCCAGAATACAGAATATATTTTTTAGATGTTTTTTAAAATTTAAAGTGAAATACAAAAGCAATATATTTCTGCTACAAAAGATTTGTAATAAAAAAAATTTTAAGTCATTATTTTAAGTAATAATTTAGAAGATGCTTAATTGAGGATGATCGATGAAGTAATTTAATATTTACTAATGTATACAAAACCTCATTCAATTTAAAGTTGGCACACTTTTAAAATCAAATCCATCCATTCAATCCAAGTAATAATTATAATTGGGTATAAATGATATAATTACATAAGTATGAAAATAATATCATTATCTCTTAATTTTTGCTATTTAAGAAATGTATTCAATTTAAGTATAAAAAACAGTTTAGCGATGTAAAATAAAAATGTGTAAAAGACACATATTTTTTTTTATTCATAAATCAAAAATAGACAAGAATAATAGAATAACACTTTTCTATTATATAGGAAATAAGTATTTCTAGCACTTTAAATCATTAAACATATTTATCGGCTACTCGTTACCATTTTGTTGACACAATAATATACAATATACATACATATGCCTATCTTCAATTTACAATACATCTCTGATTTAATTTATGGTATTAATGAAAATTGTTTTCATTGTAATTCATATTTATCACATAATGTGGGCACAAAAAATTAAAGGATAAAGTTTTTATAAGATAAATTTTACATACATAAATATTTTTATAAACTTTGTTTTATCGAAATAGAGGTATTACATAAACTAACATCCAAATTGATATAACATCAAAAATATTAAATAGATAATACTTCGTGAAAATATTCTAAAGCAAAAGGTAATCTCATACAAATCCAATAAGGGAACATTGTCATATCATCATGTTTACCTTATGTAACCGAATAAAAATATCAAAGATTTAAAGCTCATATTCAAAGTCTAGATCGAAAAAATCTCTGGGATTATTTTATGGATACTTGAAATACTAATACTTCATTCAACTACTGTAAACACTTATTGTTTGGATTCTTTTTCGTGCCTTAAATGAAACAAGTTTAGGTATAAATGCGATAAAGAAAAAAAAATGTACAGATACAACCTTACAATATTAAACTTTGGAGATGCAATTGTTTAAGCATGCTTTACTGTGTTTGTTTTTTCACGATTCATCAGAGACAATTGTATTCATTCGTATACAGTTCGTGGAGTAATGGTAGTCATGATGAGAAGAAATAAGATATTAAAATAAGTAACATCAATAACAGTGTTTGTAATATTTTAATACTTTCAAATACGTTTGAAAAATATCAAAAGTTTAATAGTTATATTTACAAATTACCTTTATTAAGACAGATTCTTACATAGTTATCCGGAGATTTAGATGTCCTCAAATATGTCGTGCGCGTCTTGTCAATTGCATTGTCTCTTATCTCACCACTTACGTACCTCAAGTGTAAGCGTGAGGACTATAATTAAATTTGCGTGCTTAAATTCATTTCCAATTTAATAAAACAATATCAATGATCTTCTAAGTAAATCATTATAATAGTTAAATTAATTGAATTTAATTGTATAGAAATTTTATAGCATTCAATACTAAATTATTCATTTTTAAATGTGAAAGAAGAAATGTGTTAAAATTTCAATGTTATATATATTACTTTACTATAATATTATATTGGCCATCTGTGTTCATGTTTCAATACTCTCAGGACGCAATCAGGTTGATTTATTTTTACTTCTAAAATGAACATCTGCTAGTTTCGAATAAAGTTAAAGGATGAACTTTAATTTCACAATAGGAATTATCAACTAATATTTATTGGATAACATATTATGTACTGAGAAACCATTTAACAAAATGTTTGACGCTAAATTAATGCATTTACTGTTCCTCAAACTAAATTTACTCTTAGGGCAGTATGCCAATTTACTTTGATGATATAATTTAATTACAAGGTTGCCCCTTTAAAACATATAAACCAACAAAATTTGTTTAGAACCACAACGTTTATCAGAAGAATATACCACAAACGGCGTCCGAAAGCATCGGAGCGATGATAAGGACGGACTGGCTCTGTCCAGGGAAATATTCAAGAACATTACCCAGAAACTCCGAGAAAACATCCAGAAGGAAGGGGCAACTGACGCGAACAATAAAATATTACAGCGTAAGTATTGATTAAGCGCAAACATTTTGTGATGATGAGTTAAATGTACACATTATGTTTTAACAATAAAATTGTGTGTTTTACCCATAAATGTAGGGTTGTTATAATAAATGGGAAAACCATTTTTCTTTTTTACATTTCAGTTTTCCGCCGGGTAGTTAGTGATTTAAAAAATTGATGATGTAAATCAAAGAGTGATTTTAAAGTTTTTTTTTTTGTGTTCATTGTTCAGATGCAGTTTAATAATTTTTGTTACAAAACAATATTTATTTTATGTAACGGACTTGAAATATTTCATATATAGTCATAGTAATTATTTATTTTTATTTCTTTACTTATGTTAAGGATTGTAAAAAAAATTTTTGGTCGTTAATAAGTGGAATACTTTCCATACTTTCCATATAACAAATATCAATATATCTATATTTTTAGTAGTGCATATAGCTATGCGACATAATTTAGTTTTATATTAATGCAACACGACACATCTCTTGTTCAAATCAAGAACCAAAATCTTTTTGTTCGTAATAAGAGGAAACAAATAATAAATTAATGTTTTATACATTGTATTTTTTAAAGCAGATAAGGTCGAGGATCCTCAAAGGAGTCACTATGCACCCTATCAAGAGTATCATCACTATGAGCGACATTGGGGACCTTATTTCGAGGAGAAGAATATTACACAAGTGGCAGCACATGTAGGGGCCGAAGCGGTATTGAACTGTCGTGTTGTGATGTTGAAAGACAAAACTGTAAGTTGATATGGTAATGTAGGTAAAAGTTAAGAAAAATTAGTATGACATTAATTTTGATTTTATGTTTCTTTATAATATTGACCTTGGCTTCGGAACTAAAATCTGGAGATACCTTTAAATTGTACATATGTGCGTAATAAATACATAAAAAATATGTATACGGTTTTTAGCTATAAATATATTGTGTTTTCTATTTGCTATAGGTCATGTGGCTTAGAAACACGACGGACACCGCTCAACTTCTAACGGTCGGCCCCGCACCTTATGCGGGTGATAATCGAGTGGCTGTAAAGTTTCAGTATCCCAACAATTGGCGGCTTAGCATCAACCCTGTAAAGTGGTCTGATGCAGGTTTATATATGTGCCAAATATCAACACATCCACCGAGAACAATATATGCAAATTTCTCAGTACTTCGTAAGTTAATTAAGAATACATTGTAATTCATTTATATAATTAATAGCAAAACATCAATTAATGCCTTTTTCATCCACACTATAAAGTACACGTTGATCTGAGTATGATATTGGTAAACACAAAAGGACTAAATGTAAATGTATTTATTTCAGATATTTTATCTTATTGGATTTCCATTTATTTGCATTTTATTAAAGTTAAATGAAATAAGCGCCGATAAAGGGGAAATTGCCACACGCAAAATGAAAAGGCGTAGACTGCTAATTATTAAAATAAAAAGCAAAAATAATACCAATACTTAAATTCAATATTGAATATCGTTTGCTATTTTTATTTTATTTTGTACAGACTTACATAGATGAAAAAACATATTTTATGAATTTCAAAAAGTACTTTAAAAGTGTAATGATTCTAATACCTAAACAATTTTAGAGTTGTTGTATTGATTAAAATTCTAGTTTAACGGCTAAAAAATAAATAGATGTTGATGACTGAGCCACTTTAAAAACTTATTTAGATTTAATAACGCTATCACTTTTACAGCTCCAGTATTGACTATAAATGGAGATAAAACACATGACGTAAAGGATAGGTTCTATAAAGCTGGAAGTTCCATAAAGCTTTCCTGTGTAATATCCGAGGAATATGTCTCATCGCTACCCACTAAACCAACAATTACTACTAAAACCTCCCCAACGACCACTACGCCTTTGACTACTACGACAGAATTGACTACGAAAATGAGTACAACATTCAATAGAATAGATTTATTGTTGAATAAAAGTTGGAGTGTTGAAACAACAACAATTACATCAACTGTTAGTATAAGTACTACAGCCAAGAGTTCTGACTGGAGTACACACCTAACTACGGTTGAGCCGGTAACAAGAACAGTGGTAAACAACGTTTACGGTATTACTTGGAAAAAGCAAGGAAAAGATTTTATCGAGTTCGTTACTTGGCGAAATATGAGGTAAGTATACAGCAACTGTATAAAAAAATATATACTTTGTGCTACTTTTAATTTAAGTAATCAATTCACTTATTTTTTTCTACTGATGCAATATTTTAATGTAAAATTAGTATTGTGTAATGAGACACGCACATAATATTTTTGTGAAAAAAAATGTTTTTGTTGTAAAAAAATGTGTAACACATATATATTCCTGCATACTTATAATATGTACGCATAGATATTTTAAAAGTTTCATAGTACTCTATTGCACAATATAGATATGTAATTGCATTTTAAATACATAATACGAGTACCTATTCTAAATTTATTATCTAACCTACATAAGAATTATTTTTATAACACTTATAAAAGTATTGTTTTATTTTTTAGTTCTACTATCAGCGTTAATTCAGCATCGCAAAACGATAGTGGCACATACACATGCCTTTTAATGAACCATTCTCAGGTTACGGTTAATGTTCATGTTTTGATTGGTAAGTTTGTATTATGGTACGTAATGATTAGAATGAGGATAAAATTAAAGGGAGATATTATCAATATAAAATTAGCCTAGTTTCATGAAATTAGAAAGAATTTAAAGGAAGGAGTGAAAAAAAACTATAACCTTTATTTTTTAATTTTTTGATATCGTTTCAAAAAAAAAACTTACAAATTGAGGTTCTTGAAAAGAGGTTAGTTTAGTTTTTCTTGACATGTAATTCGGAATATTTTATGTTGAACCTCTTTATGGTAATTCCTTCTCCTGACGTAGCAATACTGTTCACTGTATTAAAGATATACATATATAAATAATCAACAAAATTAAATACAATGTACACAACACATTCAAAATTAAGTTGCCGTAAAATTCGTTCTTAAAAACGTTATTCTTTATTCATCAGGTGAAAATCAAGCTGCAGTTCATCATGACACTTGGAATAAAAGTTCCATTCAACAAACCCAAAATATATATATAATTGAAATTTTATTTTTCATTTTATGTTACATGTGTATGTAAGGAATTTGTATAATAAATATATATGAATCATTATCATAGTATAGCAATTATTTATAATTTCTATCTAATAATTGAAATAAATTTAACATTATAATAAAATATAATCAGATACTACGTTTTTTATTTTAAAAATATTTACGGACCAAACAAATCAGGTACGTGTTTTTACAATTTTGTTTAAAAAATCATGTGGCTATATTAATTGGAAATTTATTTATACTTATTTGTTAAATTTTAAGAAAATTTTGTTTGTTACACAAACTTAAAAAATAAATTTAATATAAATTAACATACGTATATCGTGTCATTTTAAAAGATATAGAAATTCGACCAAAGATTTTCAGTAAATTCTTAAATTAGCTGATTTCGGACTAGTTTTAAGATTAACTCGATAACATAATTGTATCACTTGGGATATTGTATAACATAATATGTACATAATAGAAATCGTTGCTTATTCAGAATTATATAGAAATATAAAAAATAAATAAACAATTATTCCAAAAATGTATGATTAATATTTATAACTTGTACAGGAATGTACGTTTTAAAAAGCTTAAATATCTTTTGGGAGAAATAACACAAAGGCCCAACAGTTTTACCTATGCACATTTTGTTATAATGCAATTATTTTTTATTATATAAAAATATTTCAGGAATTTGGTAATTTATTGTAAATTAAAATCGTACAAATAAATAACATATGAATATGAAGAAAATTGTTTCATTTGCATGTAATAATCCCTTCAAGTTAGTTGTGTAAATAGGATAACTGAATAAAGTACAAAAAATAAACTTTGTGAAAAAGAAACGGATAGAAAATTTAATACTTTTCTTAAGAAGATATTTAGTTAGAGCAAATATTCTATTTGATATAACTTAGCAGTTTGTTTTACAAATTTTAGTGAGAAAGAGAACTACGATAAAATAACAATTATAATTATAAATGTTGATGGTAGAGAGCATTTGGTTTCAATGTATTTATTGTGTTAACGACAAAAACAATTCTCTGAACCAATCTGTCAAACAAGATAATTAACATTTATAGCAAATTTTAGAACATTGACTTATTACAAAACTGTCGTGCTGCTTCATTCGGCCTTCATGTCCGTTTTCATCAAAACTTTCTTCTTAACTTGCCACCCTCGCACATTTTAATAAATCCTCTAAGGATGTATGAACGAAGTCCAAGTGCTCAAGCATAAATTTGTTTGCGTAAAGAATTTATCACAAAAGATATTTTAATAATTTATTTATACTCGTATAATTTTATATTTACAAAATTTTTAGGTTTACAGATAAAGGTTTAATCAACAAATCGATAAAACTCACATATTATGTTTGATTTAGTCATAACATTTGTTCCAAAAATAAATTTGGAGCTACAATAACGACAAACACGTGTAACCTTAATATGATTAAGTACGATCCATCTTCAGAAATTTTGATTACATTTCCTTGAATGTATCTCTAATGAAAATTATAGAAGTTATTACATAATTGATGTATATAATAAAATATTTTTTTCTTTCTACAGTTACGTTAATAAAGTACCGTAAAAGTGCGCTTATAAAAGAGGGATTTTGCGTTGGAGTTCTTTTAGACTGTTTGTTAAAGCTAGTGAGACAATGTCATTATATTTGTACAATTTACCTTCATAACCTTTCACGGTTATAACTGTGACGTAATTAATCTAAGCAATGGTCTTCCTTCAGCAATTTTTTAGTATTCATTTGTTTGAATAGGGTTACTAATAAAAAGATATTAAAATTAACTAATTTTGGTGTGTTTATATCAAAAATTTGAATAATTTATTACAAATTTTTAAACATCAAATAAACATTCTATGTTTTTTGTATATATAGAGAACCTATGCGAAATACCGAACTACAAAAAAACTATTGTAGCTCTCTTTTAGTTCCGGTATTGAAATAGCACTTCCTATAAAACGTTCGTATTGACATTCAGGTCAGATGAAGATCACTAAAGTGAAAAACGTGACTACATTTCTGCATAGCCTCCCCTTAAAATCTTGTTATAAATTAATTTTAAAATAATTTATTATACTTCTCTTGATAACGTAAAAATCAAAGAAATTAATAGTGAGTTTGTTTTTAAATTGTTGAATTGTTCAGGTGACAAATTGTGAACAGATCTACAAATTTAATATACCAATAAATTTTATCTTAACGCAAACCAAATAATTCTTTTTGCTCTTTTTGACATATCTATAAATCGTGACGATTTTTATATCCCTCGGATCAAAATATCGTTATAATCATTACGTATAAATTTCCATCATAAACATTTGTTACTCAAACCTTTTTATATATATCTTATAATATATATTACTGTTCTTATAAACAATCTAAATGTTTTCATCGCTTATACAGACCACTCATGAGGTCTTCTCTCGTTGTCGATCACTTTAAGATTTTGTGCAAATACTATTCCTTTTATCCTTTGTGGTTTCCTTTCAAAGTAACTTCTATCGGCCCATTGAGAGACACGTTCTCTTTTTGTGTCTTAGGACATTTTGGCACAATTGTATAGGATTGTTATTTTCCATTCTTTATGATTGTTAAAAAATTATAAAATAGATAATATAATAATAACGTCTACTATTATAAGGTCAACTAACAAATGGATAAGAACAAAATAAAACTTATCTTAAATAAGTACATTTTATATGCTTTTGTATTTGCCAAAACATTGAACTGAATATGATGACTCATACATACCAAAAAAAATACGTATTTTACTTATTAATAAAATAGATATATCATATTTTCAAGGCCATCAAAGAAACTGAAATAATCTTTATGTTTTTGGGTCTTTCCATCAAAGAACTAAAAATAGAAAAAATATTATTAAAGTAACCTCTAACGACGAATAGTTTTAGTGTTATTCGAAATAATCGTATTCTTAATGTAAATTTATTATACGATAATCTTATATTCTAGACAAAGAAATGAAATTGAGCAATAAATCGTTTTCAATATTGGAAGACAATATTTAAAGACATTGAAAAAAAACGTTTTTCTTTAGTTATTCCCATTTGTAAAACCTTCTATATATAAGAGTCTAATACTTGAACTGTAATATTTAAAAGACATATAATAAGAACATCAATATTAATAAGAAAACAGTTACTGATATTAAGAAAATTGGTCTGTACGTAGGAATATAAAAATATATAACATTTCTCGGTTATAATAAATATATAATTCTAATGTATGATTTTCCACTTTATGGACTGCCTTATTCACTGCAACTTGAAAATCATATCATAGTACAAAATACATTTTATAAATAATAACATTCCTTTCTTTTTATTGTCATTGCATCATTTTGAAATTCTCACAATTGTGTCATTGTTATACCATAAATATTTTAAAAAATTAGCACAAAGGCATAACAGAATAGAAACTTGCAAGCCACTTTTTAATAATAGCAGTAAAGAATATTTCAATCTACAGTAAACATAAGTTCTGGCTGAGTTAATATCCAGTCGTTTTTCTTTACAATTATTTCATTCTTCTCATCTCTGTTCATATTTTATGCAAGAACAAATTTGCATACGCAAGGAATCATTCCGTTTCTTATAAAAAACAATTTTATTTTCTATAAAAATGTATATAAGATATAGAAAGTTCTCCTATTGGAACGCTGTTTTTACTTCAATTTAATGCTTGTTTTTAGGAAAGAGGTGTTATCTTTATTTTACAGAGAACTATTTAACTCCTTTTCAAATTAGCAATAAATCATCTAAGGTAACATTAATAATGCTTGAATTATTAAAAATACCTTATATTCATGTATTTTATAAAGTCATATTATTATGTTAAATTGTTAATCGGTTTTTCTATATTATTAGATGATTAATGATTTATACTATAAAATTGGTGTGTTACCTTGACTTATTCGGTCAAATACGTTCTTATTACATACATATCTTTCAACATATATAATTTTAGTTTTCAGACCATGTTTAACTACAAACT